AAAAGACTTCCTTCTGCATAAAGAGATATATTTGCCACATCAGTCCCTGTAGCACAGTTTTCAAAACCATTCTGTCAAAAATACAGTAATACAAGACTGGCTTTAGTGTCACTAGCTTACACTGCTTTTCATGTTGTTAGGCCACCATTTGTTACTGGTACTGTATCATGCAATAAAAGTTATCAAAGTCTTAGTCTAGTGTACTGGTAGGCTAGTAGCACTGAAGCACTTTTCACAATCTCAACATACATTTGAATTGCAACACACAGATATTTCTAAAGAGTAGTAACTAGTGAACCTTTTTATTACTTAACAAAAAAAAAACAACTACTTACAACCATTGAAGAAAAAATTGCAACAAAAAATGTAAAAATTGACCGTCTCCAACTTGTCCCCTTCACTATTAACAATGTGACCAACAGATCTGTGGCACGGACACAGTACAAAGAGTTGTCATGGCAATGAGTTTGGCTGATGCAAAGGTCATTGTGCAGGGTCAAAGGGCAAAATCAGTGGTCCATGTTATCCCCCAACTGCAGTGCTCCACCCCACCCGCACAATTTCAAGGAATTAGAGAAAGCAGGGGAAATATCAGAAAGTGCAAAATATGAAGAAGGCAGCTTTCAGCTCCTTCAGCATGGAGTAGAACATTTAATTTTGAGCTTTTACTATTGAACTTGAATAGCTTGCACATTAAAAAAAAATTTTTTTCTATAGAAACCCAATTTTTTTTTAAAGTCCAGGAAGCATGCAGCTGGTTTATGTTAACAAAGACCTTGGCAGGAACATGTAAACTCTATTGAATGTCATGCTTGGGGCCTATCTGCCAGCAATATTGTAGAGTTGTTTCATTATAGATGAATACTGTACACTGAATATGGGATAACTTTCTGCAGCCTTCATCGTTTCACACAGTACATAGAATTTTGCATCTAGGTAAAGAACATGTCCTGGTGTCACTGCTGAAGATGTCCCTGTGCAATCTCTTCCGTTGAGTCCTTATGAAGCTACAAGTCACAAATCCAAGATTCTGCTCCCTGAGGACACGTTATGTGAGACATAGCACTGTTTTTGTTTTCAGCCTATCCTGAATGCTCTGTGAAACTTAACCTTAAATACCATCACGTAACAATCACAAAAACTTTTCCTAAAGGCTGTATATACTAATAAAAAGACAGTGGTGCTTCCAACATTCTGAAATGCTCTGCAAACCAACTTTTCCAATACTAAATACAACAAAATAACCTTCATAAAATATAACTTTTCTCCATTTACACTTTTTTTAAAGGATTAGTGTCCTACGCTTTTCAAGCACAGGAATCTGTGAAATAACTCCTAATATGGACAGATTCTTTTTTCTTTTTTAATACATAACTTAAGAGACTGGAGAGTTTTAACTCAAGTCCAGTCTCTAAACAAGGAATATTCTTGTTTACTTTAAAAATGGAAACAACATACAGTTCCATTATAATTGTTAAAAAGTTAGCTTTACAAACATGGGAACTTTAATTTAAAAAAAAAAATTCTTAACAAAACTATACAGTGTACAAATTACTGTCTACAAGGTAGGCGGTTCATTAAGAAGACCTTTCGCTCTTCTTGCTACTTGCAGCTTCACAGATTCATTCACATATTTTTTTAAATGGAGCTGCCCACCCGAACATTACCCCATAACTATATTGCTATAATTAAGATTTTTGCCATGTCTTTATGTACAGTCTCCTTCACTGCCTTTTTTTTTTTTTTTTCTTTTTTTTTCCCTTAGACAGCCTCAAACGCTCTCATCATTCCAGGGGAAACACAGTTCAGAGGCACTGTGAGTGGTGGGCCGCAAAGCAACGCAACAGAAGCTGAACAGTGCCCTCGAACTGGGGTGGCTTGGCCACCACCCCATGTGGATGCTCGTGGGTGACCTTCCACCATCCTGAAGCTCTGTGGTTCTGGGTAAGGGAGGGGCGTGCAAGACCTGCAAAGGTGGGGGCCCTTAGTCAGAAGATACTTCCTGATAGAAGAGGAGGAGGCCAAAAAAATGAACTTCAGTATTTATATATAGTAGTATTTTTAATAGTTTAATCTCAAAAGGAAGAGGAAAAAAACGACTTAAAAAAAAAACAAAACACGCACACACTTGAACTGGGACTTTGTATTCAAGAGGCAGGCAGGAAAACCCACAGTGTGTAATTTGTTTGCTAGAATTGCTCATTCACTGGCAAAAAAAAAAAAAAAAAAAGGAAGTTGAGTCTGCTCTTAGAAAATACTGTTATGTCCTGTGAGGTTGATTTGTTCACCTAATGGGTGAGAGATACATGAAGAACTTGGCTGAGATGGTCTATTTTCTACTAGGGCCAAGTATCACAGAAATGATTCGACTTACTTTTGAACTTGCTCTGCTGGGATCTTGCTGTGCCATTCAGCATTTGGGCTATCAAAACGAATGGGCTAATCAAATATAATTCTCTGGCTCATAAGCATTGTTCTAAAGTATCCATCATCAAATGATACATAGTGAGAACAACTGACAGTTTAGTTTATAAGGCCAAGATGGGAGGAAGGGGATTCCTCAAGACAGTCTATCATGTGTCACTAATGCTGAAAGATTCCCTTTCTAGCAATGAATTCATTCAATGGGACTAGTGGGGGAAGGCAAAATAAATCCAGCCTCCATTCAGCCTCTACCCCTCAGGGGAAATGAAATCAAATCTGTATGTTAGGTACCATCCCTTAAAAACATTCCCATCAGTATTTCATGGACGTAGTTCAACCGTGGGAAGATTAATTTCTTAAAATTCTATCTTCCCTTTCTGCTCAGGTTCTCAGTTTACAGGGGCAGGTAAAATGAAAACTTATCAAAGTTTACTTATTTTTTTCCTTAAAAACTGAACTCTGATTTTAATCATAAGTCCAAATACATTCAATAGCAGCAACCCTCGGTTCTATTTCGGGGTACTAAAAAATCCAAGTGCACTGCTATCCATGTGAAGTAGTAAGTCACAAGTACATCATATATGATGCATTAATGAAATGAAGAAACAGGGAAGTGGTGGAGAAAAATACGGTCGCACTCTTTCTATAGCTGGGATGACAAGTTGCAAAAGAGAGAAAGCCTTTTAGTTGTTGTTAGTAGCCATCAAGGAGATTCCAACTCCTGGGGACCCCTGGGGTGCAGAGTTGAGCTGCTCCATAGGGTATGACCTTTCAGAAGCAGATTGCCAGGCCTGTCTTCAAAGGTGCCTCTGGGTGGGTTCGAACCACCAACTTGTAGGCTAGTAGTCGAGCCACAAAAGTGTCCTCTATGTGGACATTTGAACGATATCTTTGTCAAATATGAGACAGACTCACTGTCAACTATGGATCTGGAACTTCTGATACAAACTATCACCACTACCAAGAAAAGATAAGACAATTTTCTGAGGCCAAGTCTGCCTCCAAGAGAATTTGCTGTATGCTTGTTCTTACGATTTTTGTTCTTGTGGAAACCAGAAATGAGTTCAGCTTGCACCCCAGGTGGAAAGTTAGAGAGGGGAAACCTGTGTCAGTTGAAGTTTGTCACAGTAGGCAGAACAGTTGCTTTGCAGCCCAGGCCCATCTCAGGGTGCACTGCTTCACAGCTACACTGTAAAGTGTTAAAAATCCTCCCACCCACCCCAGAATATATATATATGTATATTTTAAAAAAATCCCCTGTCCATCTCTCAGTACACAAAAGGACCTCATCACACTGCAAAAATAGCAGTACCCACTTTGGTCAATTAAAACAAACAAACAACAAAAAAAAAGCATACATTATTTTTTTTTTTTAAATCTGTGTACTTACCTATATAACCAATACAGCTAAAAGCACTACCTACATAGGCAAAACTTGGTATTGCATAATTCGTATAAATTTGAAACCCCTCCCCCCCCAAATATTAATTGGAAGATGAAAAACATGAAAGGTTAATAGAAAAAACACCAAAATACTGAAAATATTGCTGGTCGATTACAATTTTTAAGCGGCAACTATACACAGCCATGATATGCTTTATAAATGTGAGATAAAGGTATAACTGTCTAAAAAATCCATGATGTCACACATTTTTTTTCGTCTGGAGTACAAAATATTTTGTCATAAAAATGGTAAAGATTTAAAATGATAATAAATGCAGCAAAACAAGTGTAGTGATGTCACTTTTTCGTTTTTTTGTGGTTTTTTTGTTTTTTTTTTTTAGATTTCAAGGCAAGGCACGTAATGTGGACATTATATCTTCGTGCAAATTAGGATTACTGGAAAGAGTATTTTTAATTAAAATTTTAAGAGACATAGAGGCAAAATGTGTCTGCCCATGCACACTACGGATCTGTCAATACAAGAAATTTGTTGAACAAGGCTAATGTCTGAAAGCACCATGCAAGTTTTCAGCACCCTGATGACATTTGTTTACTCAAGAGTGCGTTTTTATATCCTACACCCTGGCGGTCCCAGTTTGTAAACTGTAAGCTTTACCCTTGTGACATGGATTTGCCTGCCTCTTTGTCTCTAGAATGCAGATTTTATAGAACCTTTTGTATACCCTATGGGTTCTTGATGCAACCAGTAATTTTAAATAAATAAATTCTACCTCCAAGGAGGCTGCAGCTAAACCAACATAAGTGCTGTGTTTTCATTAATTTTTTTTTTTCCTCAAGCACATGATTTGTCTTGATTTAATGCCTTTTTAAATGCCCTCAAAAACTGAGGGGAAAATAAATTCGCTCAAAATTATGTTAAATTCTTTTTAATCCCCTCAATTTAGAGTCCAAGGGCTGAAGGACTTATAATCAGGATTCCCCTTTAGATATAAATGTTTAAATTGCACTTGCCTCTGTTAAGTGTTTTCTTTTGTGGGGAAAATATTATATTAATTTTTACTGTTGCATGCAGAGATAACACTTCACCTACATAGAGGCATTTCTTCCATAGAGCCTTTGTGTTCAAACTGGTTTTTCTTTTTTTTTTTTTTTGCTTTTTCTTTTTTTTTTAAATTGTTTTTTTTTTTAAGATTTCAAACTGGGTTACACACTGGAAAAGGCTGGGTTAAGGGCCAAATTTAATAAATCTGTACTGATAACTAAAGGCTACAGAGATTTCATATATATATATTTTTTTTAACTTTTAGAAATCAGAGTGCTTATAAAATGGCTGGCTCAAGGCCCTTGTCATCCAGCCCCTCTGACGCCGCCTCTTAGCCTTCGTTGGTGAGATAACCAGGAATAGTGATTCCATGCGTAAACAACAAGAATACTAAACCAATAAAACTAGCTTATCATGCAAATATTAAGGCATCTAGAAAGTCAGTTAAAATATATTGTCATAGAGACAGAACATCTATTTCCCAGCGGACTTCATGTAACAAAGGCTACGTTGCAGGGGCTGCGATCTACCCATCAGTGAAATATCATCGACCCTTCTTTATGTCATTACAGTTTCAACCTTAAGGGAATTAGTGATTGTAAGTGCTGCAATTGCTGGTCTAATATCTTCTTTCTTCAGGTTCTTTCATCACTCCCTTTTTGTTTTCTTTTGTTTTGTCCAGTCTTCCTCTTTTCCTCTTTTTTTTTTTTTTTAATTTTTTTATTAGTTTCTTAAACTATTGTTGTATTTCGTTTTCCCTCAGTTGCTCGTTTCCGCTTGAAGGAAAGGCTCTCCAATTATGTTCAAACCATAATTTTGGACATTTGCCGGTAGGATGGGTGTCCTATTTGCTACTTGGAAAGGAACCAAGCTAGCCCAGGTACCAGGACTGTTGAGAGGAGAAGGGCAGGAGGGAGGGAAGGGAAAAAAAAAAAAAGAAAAAATACAATGTTAAAATCTACCACAATATAAGAAATATAAATTCCATATGTATCAAATTACTACTATAGCTTTTTTTATTCTTTTTACAAATTACAGTTCAGTATGAGATAAATGTGCTCAATATACACTATATGGTCTACTTCCTTCATGAAAAGTAAAACTAAGTGTGAGGCAGAGAAACCTGGAGTAGGGCACAGACACAGTGCTTAAACCCTAACCGATGGAGGACATTCTTCCTATAAAATTTGATCTACTTCAATATAAATGCAATATGACTTTTTGTCTAATTTTTTTAAAGCAGCAAATCCATAGTCATACCAATTTCCTTATAACAGTTTGCCAGTTATTTTCTGATCTTTTTTTTCCCCCCACCTTTAATTCACAAGCAATTCAGCAGTAATTTCAATTTTTTAGCTGCCTATGGGGTTGAATAAAATTGAGAGTTGTAATGAAAGATTTCTTTTTTCTCATAATAGCATAAAATATATGTACTTTTTCAGGAAGGCCAGGGCATAAAATGCAATTTTAAATGCCTAATTATCAAACATATCTTAATCTGTGTTTTTTAGTAAAAACCTACCAAATGAAAATCATAAAACCAAAATGGAATAGGAATTTTGTTGTTGTTATTGTTCTCTACAGAAAGTACTCATTGTGAGAGAAAACATTTCTAGGAAGCCTCATGGGTTTCTGATTGCGGTTATTAGCTCCATAGCTCTCTAGTGGTTTTCTTACTCTCCTTCATGATTTACTTTCAGATAGAACCAGATTTTTCTTTCCACTTCATGTTTTCTTACACTGGCTGACAACTTATGTCTGGGCACTTGGCCCTACACCCATCAGCAGGGATTCTGCATCTGAGCTGCTCTGGAGTGGAGGGATGGGTGGGAGGATGCTGGAAGGAGGAAGCAGATGGCATTCCTGCCCATCTCCAACCAGGCAACTTTATTTTCACCTTGATTATATTGGATTTGGGGCAATTTTAAAAAGTGTTCTCTAATTACTACTGGTATAAACCAGTGGCTATTGAGTCAATTCCAACGCATAGCGACACTTGTGTGTCACATTAGAACTCTACTCCATAGGTGCTTCAGTGGCTGGTTTCTCTGACGTAGATCTCCACGCATTTCTTCTGAGGCACCTCTGGGTACACTCAATGTGCAACCTTTTGGTTAGCAGCTGAGCACATTAACCACTTCCAGCACCCAGGGACTCTGAGCCACTGGCATAATGGCTCATTAAACAAAAGTCTATGTAGAGGAAAATAACACTAGCTTTCCATCTCACAGAACAATACCACACTATACATTTTGGGGTGTACCTAATACGATGTTTTTTTTTTTGTTTTGTTTTTGTTTCAACAGTCAAATTGGAATGGATTTCAGCTTAATAATAGCTGCATAAATAATCATCAACCAAGAAAACATTGAACTGACAATTCATACCCAGTTTAATCATAGTTTGGAGATACAATCTCAATGTGCTAAATTTAATTTGGTGTCCTTTCCTTTCCTTTTGGAGCCATACAGCAAGATGGACACTATTACTGGAGGTATCGATTTAGACACATTCATTTATTCACATTTGAATTCCAAAGTGACAAAGCCCTTATGGACTTGAAGGAGCAATTTTATATGAGAAAAACTGATGCATACTGTTTTTTACTCTGATGATACCTCTGCACAAAATAGAGAGTATTGCTACATGTCTAGGTATGTGCATCTGAGTAATACATCAACAGAAACAAAATTCACAATCATCCCTTATGCTCAGTGATAAAACCATGAGCTCCATGACAGTAAAGTGCATGTTTGTTTTCCTCACTATCTATTATACTTAGAACTGTATCTAATACCTGTAGCACTCAGTTGATATTCAGGAATTTTGGGGATAAGCAAACAAATCAATGAATTTTGCCGAATCAAACCCAACTATGTATTTTGAAGAGGTGTTGCTTATAATCATATATTTTCATGAATGCTCTGGTAGCATAGTGCCTAAGGCACTTGACTGCTCACCAGAAGGCTGGCGGTTCAAACCCACCAGCCACTCCTCAGAAGGAAGGTTGGGCAATCCTACTTCCGTAGTGATACTGCCTCGGAAACCCAAGGAGGGGTCGCTATGAGTCGGGGCCGACTCGACAGCAAACAACAACAACAACAACAACTATGATTTCATTACCTATGTAAGGAAAATAGACATCCCTAAACTTAAAAATTAGAGCTGCTTAGCACTAACAAAAACTAAGTACGCAGGAATAATCACATTTAGGCCAGAAAGACTGCCTTTATGATATGCTGAAAAATCCTAACTGTAAAGAATATTTGGTATTGAGTACTTTTCTAAGGGACTTAGTTTTCACATACTTCTCTCTTCCCATACACAGCTTCAACAATTATTTCTGTGCTTTGCATCGTTTCATTGGGAACGATGTTACATAATGTATTAAGAAATTTATTTTCCCCTCAACTGTGTTTCCACTGCACTTTGTATACAATCTCATTACAACAAGTATCACTTCATATCTGTATCTGGATCATCTTGCAGACTGAAAAATAAGCTTCATAAAGAAAATAACCTAGCTTATGTATCCTTAGGAGCTCTGGTGGCGTAATCCCTAAGGCATTTGACTGTTAACCAGAAGGCTGGTGGTGCAAACCCACCAACCACTCCTCGGAAGGAAGGTTGAGGAATCTACTGTAGTGATACTGCCTCAAAAACCCAAGGAGGGGTCGCTATGAGTCAGATCTGACTCCAGGCAGTGTGTTTAGTTTTTTTTTTTTTTTTAATCTATCCTTAGAAGGTTGGGCCATAGACAATGCTAAATAACCATTTCTTTAACAAATAAATTACAAAAACTGATAAAATTTTAAACCTGCAATAGGAAGCATATGTTTTACTAAAAAAGGCTCACTGAAATCAATAGTCCTTGACAGTAAAAGGCAATGTCAGCAACAAGTCAACTGCTTTGCAAAATTAACAAGAGTTCCAAATTAAATGGGATCTAGAAGGTTGAGCAATCTACTTTTGCAGTGATACCACCTTGGAAATCCAAGGAGGGGTCACTATGAGTCGGACCCAACTCGACGGCAGTTAGTTTGGTTTGGAGAAAGTCATGTACAGATTGTATACTTTAGGAAAATAAAGTCTATTTTAATGATTGAAAATAGGTGTGACTCTTTAAATGAAATCTATCCGCTAATGACAGAAGAGAAAGGAATTCGGGGATTTTTATTTTTATTTTTTTCCAATCACTTCCTTACTCAGTTCTTTAAAAGAGACACATATTATTCTTCTTTGGAAATGCTCAATAAAAATAAATTGATGCTAGTGACTAACAGGACTCTTGCTGCAGTATGCCTAACAAATTCAATTTAGATGTTTATTTAAACCTTTCAAAGCTCCCATCTTACATTATGACCATGTCAAAATTGCAGTGTGCAATGTATTTGTCAATATTGTTTATAAACCTTTAGGGGAAAATAAATCTCAAACATTAACACTATGCAGACCCCATCTATGAGTTTTACAAGTCTCCCATTGCCAATTTGTAGGTTAACTTCAGAACTGCAAGGCACAGACATTTCTTAGAGCTCTTTGGCCGTTCCATTGAAAAAACCTGGTAAAATTAATTCAAAAGCCATGATATCAATGTAAAGAGAAATGTTTAATCAAACAAAATAATCTACATTATTTTAATTCAAAAAGACATTTCTTAAAAATATAATAGTGCTTTTTATATATATAATTCTTCTATTATTGCCAATGATCAGATGTATGGATAAAATAAACACACATATTCATATTTATCTACATATCCAAATTAGTTATATATAAAAATGCTTAATAGGTTTAATTCCTAGTGGAAAAGGAATTATATGGATGATCTAATGTTCGATCCAGCAATCTGAGTCTCTACCTATTAATAGCTGTGAGAATGTATTTATTTGAAAGGATATCAAAATACTCAAGTTCAAATTAAGCTACTTGAACAATGCATCTGCAGGCATGCATTTACTTTGTTTTCATTAAAATTTCCATCCCTAAGTCATCTTTTTTTAGGCAAACAGAAGGTAAGCAGGATTGGAAGCTGAAAACACATCTTTATGGAAGGTATACTAGCCATTAACTATTAAAAAGAACAAATAAGTACTCTCTGAAAAACCCAGGACAAAAAAATACAAAAGATCTTGACAATAACAACACAAACCACAGCTCACCCTGATGTCTTCTACTCTACTGTATAATGACATATTTTATTATACACATAACCCATAAAAGGTAAAGATTTTTGAAAAAGAAAAGATTTTTGAAAATGAAAAATATCATGGATTACATTTTCACAGGTATTTGACCAAATGCATGATGTAGCTCCCCCAAAAAAAGGAGAAAAAAGAAACCAACAGAAATTAGTTTGACCTTGAGCAGCATTAAGGGTAGGTAACAGTGCCGCCTGATTTTACATTGATAAAACCATCTTAGGACTGTGTGTGTTCCATCAAGCATCATTCTTCAACAGTAACAAACTTTATGGGAACACTTTGGAGGGGAGATTCACCAAATCATGTCATTTGAGTAACAGCTAACGGGACACAGAGAGGACAGGACAGTTGAGCTGGAAAGAAATGTAGACTTCTTCTGTATGGTTTTGGGGGACAAAATCAGCACAAATGGGAGAAACTTCCTAAAGATTACCACCTTGAGGGCCTGTGAATGAGTTATCATCTGAAGTGTTTTCCATATACAGGATACTTCATTTTGTTGAGCTTTATTGTGCTGATATTTTACAAATTCAAGGTTGTGGCAACCCTGCATTGAGTAATTCTACTGGCACCATTTTTCTAATAGCATGTGCTTACTTTGTGTATTTGTGTCATATTTTGGTAATTCTCACCAAAAGAAGTTCTGGTGGTGTAGTGGTTAAAGCATTCAGATACTATCTAAAAG